TTGACGCCCCACTGCGGCGTCTCCGCCGACGACAAGCACGCGCGCGAGCTCGCCGCGCTCGAGGCATAGTGGCGCATGTCGACGAGGCGGCCGCGTGCGAGATCATGGCGCTCTTCCTCGAGTACGAGGCGCACGCGACGCGCGAGGCGTGCTTCGTCCACGACCTGGACAAGCTGGACATGGTACTGCAGGCGGACGAGTACGAGGCGGCGCAGGGCTGCGACCTGCAGGAGTTCTTCGACTCTACAAGGGACGTGTTCCGCACGGATGATATGCGCGCATTGAACGCCGAGTTGCGCCGCCAGCGGGAGCAGCGGCGCGCCGGCGACGGTGGCGCGGCCGGGGAGCCGGCGGCCGCGCCGGGAACCGGCAGCGACTGAACGTCTGTGCGATGAAGCACTGTTTGTAGCGAGGTTTTACGAATGGGTGTTATGACCTGGGAGGCGCGAAGGGACTTGAATAACCTCGGTTGTTTACGTGACAAGTGTGCTGAAAAGGTCGACGCGTGGAGCGCTGCCAAGGCGTCTGATTTTGTGCTGCTTTGGCGAGGTAAGGCTGCCGAGGCGATACGCAGCTCATGTTCCTTGTTTCAACCGCACCATTCACGCGTGCTTAACTGCCTGGAACGAAGTGTGTGCTTGAAGCGGTCAGTCCTGACTCAATGGGGCGATGCATGACCTGCGGAAAGTATGTTGATGGGGCTTGAGCCGATAGGTTGTTTCGCTCTCGTGCTATCTGATCTGGACGAGATTCTTATTTCCGTTGGCCAGTTGCACACGTCGGTGACGAAACGACAGTCAAGGTGGATGTGCTGTACATTTATAGTTGCCTGGGCCCGACGTGCGCTCTGGATGTCCGTCACCCTCAATGTTGGTTCCCTCACCTTGAAGAGGATGCCGAAGGGGATGGCGACGGTGCCGTCGGAGTACTTGAAGCCCTCGTCGTAGATCATATTGCACAGCTCGAGGAGCTCTGTGTGGGCGTGCTTCACACCGAATAGGCCCTTCCTGTGGAGCAGATGTCGCTGTGTGCAGTATAGGTGGCAGGACGTGCTCAATGCACGTCTTGGCCTGCTGACGCGGTAATTGTCCTCAGCGGTGCATTGTAATGGATCACTAGCCTCTGTTCCGCCGTGCTGTATCAACCAAGTATGTGCGAAAACTGTTTTTGTTGTTGAAAAGTCAGCTTTCTATTCACCAGACATTTAGCGTGGTGCAATGCCAATTCAGCGGTGACATTCACTTTTCTATCGCGCTATGCTTTGTAGCAGGATATGCTGTAGAAGTCAGTCAGTCGCGCGATGATCATAATGACTTCTAGCAGCCGCTGTCGGCCAGCTTGAGTGACCCATGCACAAGTGCATCAGTTATGACGTTGTCAACCAAGAAAAGTAAACATGTGCGATGTCTTGATCGATGAGGTTAAACATAGCTTCAAGATTGGATGTCTCCAATCTTTCTGGCGCGGTTTGCGCAGGGCGAGCAAAATGAAGGTTTGACATTTTTCCCAGACACTCTGAGAGATCTGACAATTTAGCTCACAATATGTTGAAAATGCTTTGCATAGTGAACCGATATTGCCCGAATCAGATATCCCAAGGTAAATGCACTCAAATTTGCGCACATTCTTGGTATCAATATTTCTACGGGAGATGGCACGGGGCTTGTGCGTACCTCGTGGTTAGTTTCCGTGTGGTCCGGCTACGCCCGTATGTCTACGTCTTTAGATTCTTGCTTGTTTGAATATGACAAAACAAGCAATCAAACTAGCCGTGGTGCACGTTGGACAGACGCTGTCCCAATGCATGCTGAGTCCCATCCAACGTCCTCCTTGGTCCGCTGGATCAGTTCATATCGGTAATTTGCACCTAGGTATGTGGGTTCTCATACGCTGTCTGTTTTTTTTTGCTGAGGAACTGAATGCGTGAGCGGATGATTTTGCACTGAATCAGCCAAGCTTAAAACCTTAAGGCAAGTGACCGATAAGTTTTAACTTCTCATATGTTGATGAAGATACAAAATGCATCAATTATCTCGCCCGTTGCAAAAGTCAACCAAGGCAAAAAAGCGTAGCATGCTTCTATGCATTCCTACAAAACTAAAAGCACGAGCCAGAACGCCTGATGCGTGTGGTCGGTGGTGCATAAGATCGTTGATGGTAAGGATCACATCCGTTCAAGTCTTGAAACCCACGCAGAATAACGCTAGCAGTTGGAAACGTATGATTGCGTTGTCATTGTTTTGCATGAGGATAACAGAGACAAGACCATCCAAGATATTCAAGCATGTCAAAGTGTTAAAGACGGTTATAGCACGCGTTCGGTGTGGCTTAACGGCTCGCGCAACCACTATGGCAGCGAATATCCACGGTGGCAACCTGGTTTTGTGATTGTGATTCAAGCAATGATCAGGCATTGGTCGTGGTAATAGTTACAGTGTAGTTTATGTTCGTGTTTCGCCAGGCCTAATGGTACATAACGAAGACTCCATGGACAACCCACCAGGTATTATACCTTCATTGTCTTCAAAACCCCTAAAATGAAATCGTGTGGTAGTCTTAGGCTTTAAAGACGTTTGTATCAATCAAATACGTTTCCGAGTAACTGCTATCTAGTTATAGCATCAGAAATTTTAGAGCGGTCAGGCTGCGGGCCTATCTTTGCCGGATCGTGACGAGCATCCCACTGATCCGGATTGGCAGACTTGCACCAGGCTATAGAAACTGCTTACATATCGGTAAACTCGCCATGATGCGTGGAAACTTTTCCAAATTCAAATTTTTAGCCTGCTACTTTTTGACCTCTTGACTTCTTTCGTCACCTATCGTGACATTGGGCATGTCAAAAGTTGTGCGTATGGCTTTCGTTCAATCAACTTTGGTACATCATATGGCGACAGAAGAAATAAAAATGGGCTCGTCATATAAATGCTCTTTGAGCGTCCGAAATTTACGTGGGTGACGCTGGGAAAAGTAATTCCGAATATTTTTGAGACGGAGGGAGATATCGGGAATGCCACAATGTTTGCAATGCAAGATCGAATTGAAGGTAATGTAAGCAATGAAATGCATATGAATGCGTGATTTTTTAAATTGCGTCCGTTATCACCATCAGAGTACGATACACACAATAAAACCAACTGATTACTTCATGCTTACTTTACAGTGAGTCGAATTACATGCTCTACTTCTGTAGACCTCAAAAACGAGGTCAAGTTCGGTCTGCCATGCTGCCACTGTCGCTGCTAGATTTCTGAGCGTACAAAACAGAGGTTACCGTGACGCATGCGGTTCTAAATTGACGCATACCAAAGCTTAGGATCGTAGAGCCCTTGATCTAATCAGTAATGAATTTCATACAGGGCAGTGTAACTTAATATTATAATCACCCACTGTGTCAATTAAGTGTCAGTTCGAGGGAGGCAAAAGCGTCCTTTTGACAATCACCTTAACTGAATATGCTTCAATGGCTGTTAGACAAACCCGTCGGCAGCAAATAATTCATGTTCGGGTCTAAGCATTAGATGAAGACTCGGCCACCGCCTCCCTCTCTCTGACGTAGAGTTATCCCATTTCACTTTGATGGGCTTTGACCTACCGTTCCTGGTACTTTCCCTGGTAGTTTCCAGACTGGAGCGCTTAGAACTGTTTTGATTCCTTTACCGTGACTGCCCCGACGAACTGATTACTAAGCTCACTTCTTGCCTCAGTTACCTTTCCCTACGGAACAGTGCAAAATTGATAACGCTCAAGAGGTATTTTTTAAAGGAGCAAGGCATCGCCTTTGACGTCAGGATTTGGTGGTAGAGCGGCCGCTTTAAACACATCTGATGCGTGGGGCGGTGTGCTGGGCCACTGATGCCATCGCGATGTGGCGAAAAATGTGCCAGTAAAGTCCTTACGTGGTGTCCTGGATCTCAAACAGATCAACGGATGTCTCTTATCGCCTCTCCAGCCGCGCGAGCCGATGGCGTAGTCAAATGATAACGTATTGAGCAGGAGCACATTCACTTGACAGAGAAATCGTGCTGTCTACAGCAGTCTTTTCCACTTAAAAGTATATCAGTAGTTATAAGTGAGCTTTCAGCTTTTAGTTATAAGTGAGATTTCATCATATCCGATGCTTGCCTCAATGTTTTCAAATGTAAAGATTCCCTTTGTTTTTTTTGATTCCCTTAAAGGAATTTTTGAATTCCTTTAAGGGAATTCAAAAATTCCTTTAAGGGAAGGAATTCCTTTAAGGGAAGAAATTCCAATTGAATTCCTTTAAGGGAAGGAATTCCCTTAAAGGAATTTTTGATTCCCTTAAAGATTCCCTTTGAATGTAAAGAGTGTTCCACCTACGGAACAAATTAAAAAAAATATGACCTGGTCAACTCTCAAGATTCATCATCAAAATAAATAGCACCGCGGAGCGCAACTAAATGACTAATAGGACATAATGCGCAAGTTAACTTATTTATTTTTTAGTACGAATTACGTGGTCAACATTTCAGACCAGGACTGGTATTTTGTATTACCATGAATGCAAGAGCGAGTTAAGGATGTAATGATAATAATGGTCAGAGCGAGTTGTGAATGAGTTCAATATTAGGTAAGGTGATGTGCTCAGCATGAAAATATTTTGAGGCGAAGTGTGGCCAAATGTCTCGTTTTAGATTCGATGATACTTATTTTCACCATGATTGCAGTGGTGGGCATGTGTTACATGTGAGTGTTGATTAGGTACGAATTTTGCCAGCAGATATGAACGTTTGTAATCATCACAGTGCGCAGCGCAAGCATTTAGCGAGCAGCGCATTCGTGAAACATTTGCGTCGCTAAACCAGCTAATTTGCCGCTGGTGTACACCTGCCATGTAAACGACACCTTCACGACGCAAGCATCCACGTAAACAATGCTTCCCAAAGTCAAAGTGCCCTCCCAACAGAGCCACTATACAAAACGTCATAGCGGAGAAATCAAGGCCATAGCGCAACGTTTCGTCGAATCAGCGTTAGAATGGTTTCATATCTGTACATATGTTTCCCTCAACAGAGGGTTCAAGCTCTAATATCACTTCTTGCAATTGGGTTTTGGCTCTTGGTGTGCTAAGGATGTCACATAACACACAGGCTGAAAAAGTCAAGGAAATAAGAGTTTTTACTTTCATACTGATGAGGAAATTTCTTGAGATTTCCAATGTCCAATCTTTCCAAATCCCAAAGTCCATCGATCTAATTTCCAAAGTCCAATGAGATTTCTCTTGTCGCCATAGTTACTTTAAATAAAAATTATGGGCTGTTTGACCGGCTCTCGAGAAAACTGGTATCATCGATCAAATCGGACCCTTCTGAGCTGGCTATGCCTGAAAGGTGCAAAAAAGGTGTGACACGTCCTTTAATGCTCCACAGAGCAAAGCTGACTGAGATGACAAACGAGCTCAGCGGTCGGTTCTCCATATAGTTCTCATTCATGGGTTCTCAGTAAAGAATACAAAGCAGTTCCACAGATTATCGCCAGGAACCTAAGAGCTACACCCGTCCGTGAACTGGCCACTGACTATGGACGGGAGGTCAAAGTTTCATCAAAGCGGAGCAGGATGATCCCACGCCAGAGATCGGCGGTGATCTAGTCTTCACTTAGACACAAACATGAGCGATGTGTGGGGCCGAGGGGGCTGAAACACATCACCAGTCTTCATAGTCCGTTTGTTTAGAGCACGCCGCATTGACACAGTGGGTGGCTGTAATATTGAGTTACACCGCCTTGCGCCCAATCAGGTACTGTTTAATACAGAGCCTCAGCTATCCGAAGTTTTATTATAAGCAGGTTTTAGCAGCACGTGCGCCATGGTGGCCTAGTGTTTTGCATGATCAGAAATACATTAATAATCATGGGACAAATATGCCAAACTCTGAACTGCATTTTGCCTAACCCAACAAGTCATATCATTCTAAAGAGATGGATAACAATGCCTGACTCAGCTGTAGGTTAATCATGAAGCGATCAGTTGGTTCAAAGGTTTCATTTACTACCGCGCTTCTGTTGTGATTACAGAGCGAATTACAAAGGTAAAGCATTTTTAAGCAGTTACGCAAACATGTCTCTGACCTTGGACCATAAACGTTGTTTCTTTGTTATTTCGGAATTCTTGTGATCGAAAAAATTGTACAATATTGCTGTTTTAGACATATATATATATATATATATATATATATATATATATATATATATATATATATATATATAGAGCGGTATGAATCATTTTGCTGCAAATTATGTAGCACCAACGACGGGTCTATAAGGTGATCTCTCGAAAATGCCCCAGGTCATAACTCGTTGACTGTTGTTGAGAGAGGTACATGAACATCTGTTTTTAGGGCCTTATAATTTCCTATGAGAGCATTTTCAGATTGAGTTCTCGAAAACATGTGGTATAAATTTGATTTGTTGTTGTGGAATATATCAGGCTTACTTCTCTTTCTTCTCCCCGGCAGGCATGGGCACGACATCGGCCGGTTGCTCCTTCGCCATTTTCTTCAGCCCCTCCACGGCTTTCTCAAACTGCTGGACGGACACGGGCGCCATCTTCGGCTGCAATTGCTGCGGACGACAGCAGCGCGTCATCGTTCAGGTATGTCGAGGACGCTGCAGTGTTACGCCATGAGCTTCAGCGTGATGGTTTTACAGGCGTTTCTTAACAAAAAATAGTGATGCAACTTTTTCCTGACAACAACGTCGAACGAAAGCGCTCGTCAAATACTGATATGTACCTTTAGTTGTATTCTGCATAGACATTGAGAACCTCCTGAACGTAGATTGCAGACCGAAATGATGGCCCAAAATTTGCATTAACATGGCTAACCCATGTTCGTTTACTCATGTTTTGTGTTCAGTCAGAATCGATTTCTCAGAAAAAAACTATGTAGCATGTTTTGAACGTGCGCGCAAATCTTAACAACAGCTTAACAGCTTAACAAATCTTAACATCGACACCCGGCGTTGCTGTCTCCTTAGGCCGCGCGACGTCAGCCCCGTGGCTGACTCAAAGCGGTGGCGAACGGGCAGACGAACAAAAAGATAACGCGTCTGAAAGGAGTGCCTTTGAACGCTTGGAAACAACAGTTCGTACGCTTAGAAAGTAGTTCGGACGTGCATTTCATTTGTGCGATTTTGACGTTGATGACAAGGGCGGATTAGCCTCCATAGTACCGTGAGGTGGTGCTGGAATCTGGTGGTGGAACTGGATGATTCAAGGTAAACTTTCTGTGTTTCGTGTTGCCGCAACTGCTAATTGTAAAATGGATAGCCAGCGGTAAGGTGAGAAACAATAAGCGAAATCATGTCAACCGGCTGTTGAGCTTCGGTATTTGAAGCTGAGTAGGATTGTAAGCACTCATGTGCTTTAATGCTTGGGACTGTTTACAAATTCATTGAGATGTCTGATTTTCATTACAGCCGTACTCAGAAGCCTGGTATACTGTATGGCACACCAGATGCTGAGCGAAGCGGAGCAGAGGCCGGCACTCCTGGTTGGAACATACTGGGGCCGATATCCGACGGATCGGACGCTGCGTCATGAACCTGGCATGAGTTCCTGGCGTCCGGGGGCCGACAGGTTTCGTCATCGTTGGCAGTGCCTTGGTTTTGGATCATGATCAGGTGGCATCGGTGAAAAGGCTTCATTTTTCGTTGATTATTATTTCTTCTGGTGTAGCCAATGGCTAGAGCAGAACTGAACTCCCACTATGGGCGATTCCCCCACCCCCCCCCCCCTCAACGCATCACAGAAATTCTTCACCACTCGTGTCCCCCGATGACCGGTGTTGCCTGTGCCATGGTTGAATTTAGCTTAGTTGTGATAGTGCACTTATTCACTTAATTCGGCTGTTGTCAGGTAATGCAGTAGAGTTAGGGAGTGGGATCATCAAGGCGAACGCATAATCAGCGATAGCAAGTGGGAGTTCACAACGGCCCGCTTAGTGTTTACGATGTACCTTTGGGTGTGTGGATCTTGGCATTAACGTGCTTGTTGGGACATCAAGCTTCCAAATAGACTTGGCACACCAGCTGATCGGCTGAAATCAGAGGAATACCCCAAAAACCGGGATGTTCCACTTTGTGGCAACCGCGGCTTATTGAGCTATAAGCAGGGCCAGAGCTGGCTCTACTGACGAACCAAACGGCATGTGTGCGTGTATGTGTGTGTGTGTGAAATTCCTGGCTTTCAATGTATCGAGGAGTCCTGGGTGAACGCCGTTAAAGCAACAATTGAAATATATGAAACCTACAGCATTGCAAAGGTATCTGGTCATGCTTGCTATTGTGCAATGAGGTTTCCAGTGCGTTATCTGCCTTTTAAGTGCTTCATTTGAAATTTGAAAGCTGTTTCTTCAATGCTACGAGCATAACTTTTTCGGCGTGCCTGCTTCAATGTTAAATAAAGTATGCATGATAAAATCTGACACCACTCGCTTGAAAACCTCGCTGCTGTTTGAAGTCCTAACTTACCAGCATTCAGAAGCCCAACTACACGAGACGCACCGTCTTACATGTACTACATAATCGCATCTGAGCCGTCACTTATGTATAAAACATTGCTATTTTTGTTGATATACTTTCAGTTCATTTAGATATAATATTCATTATATTTCGTTTAGCTTAAATATATATATATATATATATATATATATATATAAGCTTAAGGAAGCCATCATGTTAAAAAAGCAATCACATGAATCCATGACTAGCCGAATACAATACAATTTGTTCCCGTTTTCAGAACAGATCTTTTAGTTAGGGGTCTTTGATCTCTCGGCAGAATACTAGTGTCTCAAGCAGAAGACGATTAGGCTTTCAGTGGCCGAAGAAGATTCCCCATTATCTTTGCCCCTATGCATTTTGTTTTTCCTTCCTTACTCGAATCGAATTACGTATATACACGAAAGCATGTGTTAGTGCATCTTGTATCTGGTTGATCAGTGCAGTTGTGGATTATTTCAACGTTCGTGCCTTAATTTAATTGGTTTACTCGTTCGTTGCCGCACATATGCTTAAGTCGACCATACTTCTCACACGGTGTGCTTCATTGTGCCTCATTTCTGCAACGGAAACAATGCTTAAACACATACCATATGCAATCGTTCTACCGTGCGGTGCTTGCTTCATATCTGCTCGGTTTACGCACACGCACGTTCTGGAAAATGGAGCATCGCTCATTGGTTTTACGTGGAGATTGTCAAATCAAAAATTGTCTGATAACTTTGCCTGCTTTTATTATCGAAAGAGATGGAAGAGTAACGTCCTCCGAGTGATGTCGATTGCTCCCTTCAGAGCGTGCTAGCCTTCTTTTCGTGCCGTGGTGTGCGCCCTATGAACGGCAGATTACGCTTGGGTAGCCCTATGGACGGCAGATTACGCTTGGGTAGCCTTTGCCCGCCATCCTAAGTTGGAGCGATGAAAGGAAGCATCAGTCATGCTTTCACTGCTCCACATGCTGTTCTAGAATGCCTCGTGGACGTACGTTGGGGTCTCGTGTACGGTGTGCGTGCCATTGTGTGGTTGTTCGAATGCAAAACAAGTAGAAATGCAAACGTTTCGGATGTTCGAGAATCAATAAAATGTGATCACACTGAAAAAATGGGGTCTCGTGTCCCTGTACTCCCCACTGATAGATCGTTTGCCACCACCCACCAGCTACTGCGGGCCGGCCGCCAGAAATAGCTCCGGTTCCGGTACGCGACACGCTGATTGGCTACTCCACGTATCCTCGTCATCGTCGGACGCTGCTGCACGCACGCGCCTGGCAGTGCCTTCAGCGAGCCGGCGGGCTCCTCTGATTGTCGGAACTCAGTTCAAGTTACGCACTGCCCTTCATCACAGATGGCCATTTCGGCGAGCCTAATCGCAGCTGACCAAGGGCATATGTAAGACGCTTATATGGTGGGGGGGGGGGGGTGTATCTGCGCTTTTCAGCTTGTGAATATCATTTGGCACGCCCTGTGGAAAATTTTTGTCCCGTGCGTACCGCGCTTTTGCCATCAAACTTTGGGATTAAACTTTGTCCATCAGGCATTGTGCTCCCCTCGCAGGACAATCCTGCATACGCCCTAGCCACTGGTCTTTTCAAACGTTGTGTCACATGTCTGGCTGCTGACTTTGTTTGACTTAAGGCAAAGCGTGGCACTTCTTACCGCCTTCGCGCCATACCAGCTTCAAGGAGTATGACTTATGTTTGTCGCGCTCCCTTGCCCCATTTGTTTGCCTCATTTTTTCACTTGCCCACTTGCCCCATTCGTAAGATTTTCAATAATAACGGCACCCTCACCTCGGTGCCATTAACGGGGATTTGCGGTTCTCACATCTGCGTTGCCCTGGTGATGCGGATGATGACGCTTATTTGTCTGTCAACGATCAGTGTGTTAACCGATATCAACTTTCCCGGCACGAAATGTAAAGCCGTACTGAAAGCTGCAGAACTGTGACGTTCCGCCGCTGTCCGGTATCTGTCAGAAACGGAGACCACCACATGCATGCACCCCTCCCCCACAGTAAGAGCCCGATGTGGTCGCCACTGCCCTGTCCCTGCCCGGGCGGCACTGATGCTGTCAGGCGCGAGTCCCGCTCAGTCCCGCCTGAGGTCCCCGCCACCCCCCGGCCTGACTCGTCCATGTGTCTCACCTGTTGGGTGACTCCGGGGCGCTCACGGGGCTGGCGGCACACGCAGTGAGCGTTCCAGCTCCAGCCCGCCTCCAGCCACGCCTCTCTGACTCAAACAGCACCTGCCGCTATTAATAGCGCGGGTGGGCGGGCGCTGGCCGGGGTGCCGGGGTCAGCCCCGGCTCTGGCCTGGGTGGGAGGATGCTGTATGTTCCGAGGGCCATCCAGTAGCGAAGCGTCACCGGGTTCAGCTCCCCTTCTCGCCGGTACTTCGCCCTACCTGGGTGGTTCGTCGCCGGGGTCAGCTCCCGTTCTCGCCGGTACTCGCCCTACCTGGCTGACTCATCACCGGGGTCAGCTCCCGTTCTCGCCGGTACACGCCCTACCAGGGTGCCTCGTCGCCGGGGTCAGCTCCCGTTCTCGCCGGTACTCGCCCTACCTGGGTGGCTCGTTGCCGGGGTCAGCTCCCGTTCTCGCCGGTACTCGCCCTACCTGGGTGGTTCGTCGCCGGGGTCAGCTCCCGTTCTCGACGATAACCGCAGGTCTTTGACTAACGCCTGGTTTACCCTTCGTGTGCTGTTGCATTGGTAAAATGAGGGTGGCCGTGAGGGCTAAAAGGAGAAAAAGTATGAACTTCTACTGACGTTTACATAGCACATATGGCATATTTATTAGCATGTTATTATATTTGCATATTATATTATGTGGCATATTACGTAGCATGTTACATAGCATAGCACTTATATCCTTTATAGGTATTTGGTGGTAAACGCCAGTGCTGTCAAACAAACCTGAATTCGCTATGCTCATAATAATTTCTTCGGTCATTTCATATTTCGAATATGACATTGATGCGTAAGACACACTGCAGAAAGCAGAAACTCCACGCTAATCGCCCTTTTCCTCTGTAGAAGAAAACAAAACGGTGGCCACTAACAACCCACACATATGACCATCACTGCACGCCGTTGGGACGACTCCCACGCACCCGCCCAGGAGGGGGCGACGCGCTATGGTAGACGGGCGCACGGTCCGCTGGCGCCACTCCTCGAGCCACACCCGCCCCAGCCCGGCCTGGCTAAACGAAACGCATAGTTTTGACGATAACTGAACATGTCGGACGCTGTCATCTGCGTGGTGCCACTTAAATGTTTTGCGCAAAAGTAATTTTGCTTATCTCTTTTCACTGGCGGCATACTTCGAGCTATCGCAAACGCTTTCGATTCCATCGGTGAACGCATCATCCGCGCGCCTAGTGCAGCCCGCAAGGCCTCCGAGTGTTGATGAAAAGAGCCGCGCGATATCTAGGTTGCGTCGCAGCTCGGCTGATGCTCGCCCCGGTGATTAGCTGGGCGTCTGCCGGATCAAAGGGGCCGACCGCGCCGCGAATCAGATCTGCGGTACTGCTAAACACTGATTGCAAGTCTGGAGTTTATTCGCGCGGGCTCTGGATCGTCCTTCGGTGATAACGCACGATTAGCGACATCATCTTGAGTGATTTTCTTATGTCACATTTCGTGGGGGAAGATGTCTTGCGGGAACGTTGTCTGATACTAAGAAAACCATTCCATCAGCATTCGCTAAGAAGAACAGTTCATCAAAGCCGTGGGCGATCTCCACGCCAAATTTTGCCCGTTCACTTTGCTGTGTACACAATGTTAGTGCTTCCATTGCTTATTTCGTCGCACAAAACCTTTTCCGCTCCGCTCTCTGATTCAGTTCGTGTTCTTCGGTTTTGTGCAAGGCAACTCATGGAGCTTAGCGTGGGGCCTGCATGAGGCCGTGAGGCGTAAACAACGCTGGGTACCTGCTGGAGTAGCATTTCATCGCTCGTTTCGTCCGACCACGGTCTGGCGGACGGTTCGAGTACCGCGCAGTACGCCTTCATCGGGTCAGCAGTGGGCTACGTGACACTAGATAGTTTTGCTCTTTATCCCAAGAGCAGGATGAGCATTGCCCATGGAAGCACACTGCGCAGTGAGTGTGGACTGATGGCTTGCAGACCTGAGACGTCAGCCATTCCGAGCAGGTGTCGCTGTCTCCCTTCGCGTGAGACGATATAGATGACGCCACGCTAGCTGTCGGCAAAGCGCGTCAGCGTCTGTCGGGGATGTCTTGAGTCAACAGTTTGAGGCTTTGTCTCACCAGTCGAAGGGAGGAGTGAGTGGTGGACGAACGCAACCCCAAGGCGCATCCTTCAGATTTGACCTGAGTCGTACTGGTAGGCGAGGGACCGACCACGACAGTGTGGTAGTTGGTGGGGAGTTAGCCAGAGACTGGGCAGGCTGCACCCCCAAACTTCATAAGATACTGCGTCCCACGGGTCCAATACGCCATGATTTGAGAGACAAGTCGACGTTTGAACACGTCAGACCTCACCTTGAACAGCCGTACATCCACCGAATCTGCGCAACAGATGCGACAAAGGTCAGCTGTTGAGGCAGCTACGGCCGTCCGCAAACCTGGCTCACCGCGCGCCAACAGTAGTGTAGTTCAGCTGATGGTGGCGCTTGCTCTCGTCAGATACAGCAAGCTACAGGTTCGCCAGCGAGGCTTCGGTGTCTCCACACAGTCAGCCTGTGTGTGACAGACGATACGACAGGGCTGTTGTTCTATATTGGTGGCGGTCATCTGAGCACCATGACCGTGTTCGCGTGGTCGCTGTTCTTTGCTGCCGTCGTTGATGGTGGGCTTGAGCTGTCACGAAATTCGATTCTGGGTAGAACTTTGGCGGGTGGGGAAGGATAATGTTTTACACCCGTTGCTGCCGAAATGTCCACCTTTTGGATAAATCGCAGAGGCGAAAGGTCACTGGTTCGGAGCTGTTTACTATTGCAAATTGAAATTCAAAGCGTTCCGCGTCTCCAGGCTTTCTGTGCTCCAACAAAACGTCATAAATTTTGAGATGTAACCAAGTCGACTTTCGTAGCTGTGGGAAATGCGAACGGTATCCTAGCACGTTGTTTTGACATACAATTACATACGTAGCTTTCCCTTTCAGTGAACCTCTACCTAACTCTAACAACAATTTGTGCCCGAACTGCGCAGGTTACCTCCGGAAAACATGGCGCCTGTAACGATAGCGTGCATTGCTGTCGGGACGGTTAAGAAAAACGACCTACATGAATGCGCTCCAGATTTCATTTAAAAAAAAGAGACGGCGTTCTCTTTGTTTTGCATCACGGTATGGGCCCGCGAAAAGACTGTTGTGCAGCCTCGCCCGATGCAGAGGACTGCCCTCATGCGTCTGCTGCGACCCCGGCCGAGGAGGACTTCCTGACATTATCAGGCTCGTGGCTTGCCTTCCGGTGCGGTCGACGGAGCACAGCATCAACATATCCACATCCTCCCGCAGTGCATTGATTCGTGCTTCGTAGCATCTTTGGGCTGATCATGTGTTACATAGCGCCGTGAGAGGCGTGAACGTGCTCAGTGTCGAAGCTTGGTTACGTGTTGGCTTACGTGTTAATGGAATAGAGAAAGCGTGACACCTTTCGCGACTCGTTGTCGTTCAATACACAGTAGTAATGGAAGTTTTGCCACCGCCGTTTCGCTTTTGCGATCACCAAGAGTGGAAATGTTCGCTGTTAGCGCCCGGAGATTTTTCCGGAATGGCTTCCGAACGGTGCGGCGTGGCCACCCCACATTTTGCATGGCTGTAGGTAATTGAATAGTGGATCGTTTGGCATAGAATATTTGGCTTCACCTGGTAAGGTCGCTGACCTATGGTAGGTCAAATTCAGACCATAGTTACAGCGAAAGCAACTTCTAGGGAATTGTTTAACCTGATCTAACGACGGTAAACAAATTGCATTGACCTAAGGTCAGTTTTGAAGGTCAGATCAAGGTCAAAATCAAACTGTTTTATTACTTAGTTTTCTCTCACTCTAACTAACTCTCTTAGTTCCTGAGATTCCAGGGGGTCAAATTGACTCTCCACCCGAGCGAAGGGTGGCCAACCGGTTACCCGGGCGCGTGTTAACCCCAAAATAGGTGTTCGTGCAAGGTCAATCTCTCGTTTGATGAGAGTAATCAAAGAATGCTCCATCGGGCAGTTCCTCATGCACGAATTACCTGCGTACAGGGGCATAGTTTCACAAAACGAGTTGGGGGCTTAGTAGTGAAAAATCGCAATTTAAAATTTCTTCTCAACGTTGGGGCGCTCGAGCCCAAGGCTGGGGCCAAACAGGGGTCAACTACATCCCTGCCGTCGTGGAAACGCCGAAGCTGTTCAGCGTCTGCTATCAGCAAATACCTCGACGTCAGAAAACGTCACCATCGGCAAAACTTAACGTCATGGCGTACCGCGGAGCCTTTATGCTTATGTTTCGGTATTCAGTCACATGAATGGACCTGATACGGACTTCGCAATTATTGGCATAATTCACTAATTGCGAAGCCCGTAAGTGTGACGAAGTGGGAGCAGTAGCTCACATCCTCTCGAATCTCTCTGGTTGCAAACACGCAATAGGATCACTTTGTTCTCTTCAGTGCAGCATGAACAGGCGTCCCCATCCTCTCGCTGAGAAGATAAAGCTCTCATCGTGGGAATGTTATAGGTGATCGTAGGCAAAACCCTTGGTAACGAGGTCACGATGTAGGCAGATATTACACGCGTCACGCGTAGTGTTGGTGTTGCCGTGGAACCTACCTCAATGAATAAGTTGAACGGTGTGAACATGCTATATTCTCATGGGACATCTGGCAGCTGGCAGGATGTTTGCGGTAATGGCAAGCACGTCATTCACAAGAGCCTTCTGGCGTTGCGATATCTGCCCGATCTTGCCTTTCGGACGAGAACCTCGCCGGCAGCAACGTTCCACGAGCGTTCGCTGGTCCTGCCGCTGCCTTTGCGTCGGATGCACGCGTCGTGCTAGCGTCCAGCCGTGTCACGTGTCACGTTGTCGTCTGCACGTGGCTTGCGGTTTGCTGTCCGCACGTGGATCGCGGTTTGCTGTCCGCCGAAGGACAGCCTGCCGGCCGGGCCGCGGCGGCGCGCCACTGTTTGTAGGAAGCGCGACTATCTGGAGGCGGCCGGACGCTGCCGGAGGTCACTGTGCGGCCGGCGCAGTGGGCGGCCGCGGCGGCACCAGTGGCCGGACGGG